GACTGGAGGACCGATGTCACTGTGGCATTCATTAGCTGCAGAGCCAGTGGTTTATAAGCTGAAATCAAAAACACTGCCAAAAATAAGCTTCATTACCACAACTTAAACTTTATATGTGCCATTTTAGTAAACACACAGGCAGCTTGCCTCATTTTGCTTAAGCACAATGTCCTTGTTTGTGGCTTTTGTCTAAATGTGTGGATTTCCCTGTTTATAATTTATTATTTTTGTCTATTTTTGTCCTCCTCTGACATTCATTTTCCATCCCCTGTTCAGAATAAACCACTACCAGCAGAGGCTGCAGTCTTTATACTTCAAAAAGAAGTTTGCAGAGAGGATAGCTGAGATGAAACCAAAAGTTGAAGGTGGGAAAAGTCTCATTGTTTCATACATCAATAAAATTAACATGATTTTTTTTAAATAAAGAACTGAAAATAGTTTTTGTATATTTATTTTTACCATGGAAGTCCATTTCTATTAAGAAAAGTATTCTCTGTCTATACATCTCTGTTTTTATCCCTAATGCTTTGTATTTTCTACCTTTTTAAATTTGCCAAGACAATGATGTGCCAGCTACGCAGGTCTGAAAATAAATCATTCAGGCACCTTAAAAACATTTATTTTCCGTATGTTTTGGCTTCTCAGCTCTGACCAAGGCGTCTAAGGAGATTTTACACAGCAGAAACCTGAAGCAGCTGTTGGAGGTGGTGCTGGCCTTTGGAAACTTCATGAACAAGGGTCAGAGGGGGAACGCTTACGGCTTCAAGGTGTCTTCGCTTAACAAGATCGCTGATACCAAATCCAGTATCGACAAGTAAGAACATTTTTTAGTTGTAACATCAAAACTTTCAGACAGTAACAGAAATAACAGCGTGGAATCTATAAAAGTCAGGAACAGGATGATATAGATCAAACTCCGTATGGTTATTCATAGCTGAACCTACATAATAAAAGCAATATATCGCACATTTGGCACGTTCAAGCAGAGTGTTTGTACGTCTCTGTGTTTGCAGAAACATCACTCTGCTGCACTACCTGATCACCATCCTGGAGAAGAAATACCCCAAAGTCCTGATGTTCCAGGAGGACCTGCAGAATGTCTCTGAGGCAGCCAAAGTCAAGTAGGTGGAGCTGTGGAGAACCCTGCTGCCCGACTTACAATCCTTTGCATTTTGTATTAAACAATCACTTTTCTTTCTTTCTTTTTGGGCAGCATGACTGAGCTGGAAAAAGATATCGGCAACCTGCGCAGCGGCTTGAAAAGTGTGGAGAGTGTGAGTCACAAAGATCTATGAGATAATGCATTATGCGTCACTCATGCTGTTATACAGTGTTTCGTGCAGGTCTATTGTAGCTCTCCTTTCATTTTTTTTCCCCCTTCCCTCTCCTGGATCATTTTCACTCGTAGGAGCTGGAATACCAGAAGAAGCGACCGCAGGAGCTGGGCGACAAGTTCGTCTCGGTGGTGAGTCAGTTCATCACCGTTGCCAGCTTCAGCTTCTCCGATGTGGAGGACTCTCTCACTGAGGCCAAGGAACTGGTAAGTCACTGCGGCTGTACGGTCTGTTTGAGCAGACCGGACAGCACCACTGTCACTTGTAGACACAAACGCTGAAAGCTTGCATCCCATTTCCTCTCAGTGCAGCTGTTTCTACATGCCTTATTGACCTCATCAGTCACCTCTGTAGGAAAGCTAACAGCAGGAGCGAAGTGTTTTAGCTTCCTGCCGCAGCACCACTGACGCTTTATTGGTCAGCCTGCTTGTTGCCATGTGTGCAGGTCAGAGAGAGAAACCAGGAACAGAGGGTTGGATATTATTTTACACCCATTATGTTCGGCCTTGTATGGTCCTTAATCGTACCTGCCAACCCTCCGTATTATTTTGTGAATATTTTTATAAAATTTACGGTTCCATTTTAGTTTAGAGCCTAAAGCAAAAGAAGGAACAAAGCTGGATTTTTCAGGCATTTTAAGGGAAATGGGCTCTTTACTACTAGAAACCTGAGCATATTCACCTTTTTTAGGGAGAGCTTGACACCCTGAAGTTAAATTTATGCGTCTGTCCACATTTATTGGTGCAAGACATAGTGTTCTTATCTTGAGTATGTTTTTCGGCCCATAGAGCTTGTGCTGCATTGACCCAAGTGCTCAGCTGGTCACATGGCAACCATTAGTTTCTGTGAATCATTTACGGTGTCCCACGGTTAAATATTTGAGAGTGTTTACAGTGGTCCTCTGTACTCATGATTGGGAAACAGAGAGCATGGTGACCCTTTTAAAAAGCTTGTTGAATCTGGTTTGTGTGCATGTAATACAATTCTTGTAGAATGTAAAGTTATATTTTAAGCATTTTTGTCATTATGTCCCATTGATTCCTGTTGTGAGGACATTCAGAAAAAAGAAAACGTTATATGCATCTTTGCTCCACCTGGTAGAGTTTGCGTGTCATGGACAGAGCTTCCGTTAACATACACATCTTAGAAGGTATATGTTCTCAGCGTGATCTCACATCTGGATGTTCTCCTTTTTAACTCACTGTGAAAAATACTCAACAAACACGTTGCCTTAATTTGGGCTCTGGCTCCAGTCTCTGGCCTCGGCTGTAATCAGTAGCCGGTCAGATCTGGGTTAACACAGGGCTTCAAAGCCCAACTACCGGTACCCTGCTCTTATTTCAAAGAGCTGAGATCTAATGAGTCTCCTGTAAAACAGTCAAAGACGGAGTAAAACATGGTTCCACTGTGTCCTGCTGTAAATCTAATCCCGCGTGCCCCTCCCTGTGTGCCCCCTTCTCTTTGGTCCCACAGTTCCTGAGGGCAGTAAAGCACTTCGGTGAGGATGCCACTAAGATGCAGCCAGATGAGTTCTTTGGCATCTTTGACCAGTTCCTGCAGTCGTTCTCTGAGGCTCAGCAGGAGAACGAGAATATGCGGAAACGCAAAGAGGAGGAGGAGCGCAGGGCCAAAATGGAAGCTCAGGTATGTGATGTGTGTTCCGTAATTCGTAGAAAATCTGAAGTGTAAAGGAAGGTGTAGGGGAAATGGCTTCTGACATGTTGGTAGAATTTTTTTCAGTTCAGTTTAGTTTCAGTTAATTTCCATTAGTTGCATTACAGTTTTTATTGTTGTTAAACTAAGTTTTTTTTTTATTAGAATATGTCAGAATTGGTATTACAATACAAATACACTGACTCACAGTCAATCTCAATACGCACCAATGCCTCCTCTTACTTGTGTTGACAAATTTGACCAAAATTACTAATGAACTAAAACTATCATTTCAGTTTAAAAAAAAAAAAGTTTTATTATTAAATAAAAAAATTTTTTATTTCTGTCACCAGCTGAAAGAGCAGAGGGAGAAGGAGCGAAAGGCGCGGAAAGCGAAGGCTAACGGTGAGGACGACGGCGGCGAGTTTGACGACTTGGTGTCAGCGCTGCGATCAGGCGAGGTCTTCGACAAGGACTTGTCCAAGATGAAACGCAACCGCAAGCGCATCAACAGCCAGACCACAGACAGCAGAGAGCGACCGGTCACAAAGCTCAACTTCTAAACGGGGTTGAGGTCATCATCCACGCCCCCCCTCCTCCTGCTCATCATTAGTTTCCCTCTGGGTCGTACTGACTTGCACATTCCTCTACACCCTCCTCCATTCCCACCCAGTTCGGCATCATCGCTGTAGAGCCACACACGGCGCAACATGTTTTAGACCTTTCATCCTCTGAGATTTTGATGTTAAACGGAGAAGAAGCCAAAAGTTGTTGTTAATGACCAAATGAGAAAATTCCCGACTGGAGGATCAGTTTGGTAACATGTTTGATTGAAGAAGTTGTGGACGCATGAGCAGAGTGTCCCCCCCCACCCCCCGCTGGAGAAAATTTTCCATTCCAGGTGTAAGAGATGCTCACAGTTGTTTGATAGGAAGTGTTCTGTGCTGTTTTTGTACGTCAGAATCTATGCACAGAGTGAAATGTGCAGCTAGCGGACTCGTTCAGGGCTTGATGCTCGATCCAAACAGGAAGATGATTCCATTAAAAACACAAGGGGCCATTTTGTACGGACCGATTTCATAGATTGAAGAGGGGCTGCTTTCACACGCCTGACTTGTCCAAGAGATCATTTTAGGAGAGACTGAATCTTAATTTCCTCTTGACGCTGCCGTTCTCTCGCTTTCAGAACTACCACAGGACTGAGACGCTGCATTGGTAGACAGACGTGGTTTTGATTGCAAGTGACGCAGCTGAGAAGCAAAGGTTTCTTTTTTATTCATCATTATGACGTGCAGCATTTATATATCTGATCACTGTATGTTTTATTTTTCCTGTTAAGAGCTGGCCTTAACTCTGTTGACTTTAATTGTTGAGTGGGTACTCTGAAAGGCCTGGGCCTGATCTGCAATTTCTCAACAAGTGTGGACACTCGATGTCATAGATTACATTTATCTATATATAAGGTTGTGTGCTTGTTGCACATGCACATATAAATTCATAAGTACTATGCTAAATGCCATTAAACCCATACCCAATCGATGCAATACTCTTGTTTTTCCCCTCTGAAGGGAGTGCCCTCCTTTTAAGTTTTTATTGAATAGATGAAATATGTTTTCTGTGCACTGGCTGGATTTACACTGCAACACGAAACAAAACCCTGATTATAAACTCTGTGTGATCCACGTGATGTTTTCATTCTTGTAGAAATCATCACGTGGACGTGAAACCTTTAATTTGTCCCCTCCGCCGTGTGAATCCACCCAGTGTCAAACACCTCCATTGGACTTTTATAATTTAAATATTGCCTTTCATTGTACAATGTCCTGATGATAATAAATGGGAGAAAACAGTCTGAGTTTTTGTATTTGGTTAACAAGCACATGGACGTATGCATCTTTAACTTTGTAGACCGTGATAGCAGCAAGGCTCATAGCTCCATCTAGTGGTCAGCAATTGCTATTGAACAGAATACCTGACCTCTACCCTCTCACATTTAATCCCAAATAATCCAGATGTTATGAACAGCAAATGTTCACATTTGAGCCAATTTTCAAATGTGAACACTGTCTGTTTTTATTCTTAGTTTTTATTGCGAATTTAAAGAGCAGTTTATAATTGACACTGACAAACATACACTGTTCACTGGTTAACAGTTTATAAATATTGATTACTACAACTTTGAAGTCAAATGGCACAATGCAGTATAGAGAGACATTTGTGATGTCATTGCTCCGAATTACATGGATTTGTTAAAAATGTGTTTATCAGCCAGTCTCAGATCACATCAATTACTTTACTATTCACTTTGCTAATGTATTACTTGACAATGTAATCTATTTCTTAAACCAGATTATTCCTCATGAATGGTGGGTAATTTCACCACCCACAATGAAATGAAAACACGATTGTACATATATTATATAAAAAGATTGTGATCTCTTCATTACAGTTTATTATAGATCCAATAAAAATTGAGATTTACAGATTTTCTATTGGATTGAACTACAAAATTTAAAACACCTTTTTTTATGTATAACCATGTTTTAAAACTAAACCTGTAATTGAGGCTCACTTCAGCAGAAAACCATGAGTCAGCTCGTCTTCTGGCTCCTGCACGAGGCGTGAAACTCCGGTGTAAAAAGCTCTGCCAGCAACTTCCACGACTACAGCCTTGAAGTCTCCACACTTGGTCTCCTGAACAGAAATACAAAGAGACGGAAACCGCTCCATAACTTAAGTCAATTTCTGAGGGTTTGTGACTTGAACCAAGAAAAAATGATTCATATGAGGTGAAACCATCTATAAACAATACATACTTATATTTCATGTACAACCAGGGGGATTAGAAAATACTTTAATTGTACTACAACAACAGAAAGGTTATACTTTTTAAACTAATGTTTAACAGTTGCACACTGCAGGAGTTTTTATTTCTACAATAGAAATTTCTACAATATGACTACAGCTGTGACTTTGTTTGGGATATAAGGACATTCCCTGATTCACTAATGGAGGCCATGAAATTCAAATAAAGCTCATTACACTGCAATAGCTCAAACAGTATGGGTTATGTTCACGTCATCATCCAGATTATAAAACAAAATCTGTTTTTAAGTGGATTTTCCTTCTTAGGTCCTATAATTCTAATTCTTATCTCAAAGTGTTCCTGTCCTTTGGTTGATGACACATTTTCACTGTGATAGTCAACACAAACCTTTCACCCACATGGACATAAAATTAACTGAGCTTTGCTACAGTAGTTTGTGATAAATAATTAATATCTGATGAATAGAAAGCAAGCTCACATTGCCTGAACTGTTTCAAACTCAAATTGGCTTGGGGGCACTGCTATTAGTGTTATTTCATATATAAAATGATGATGAGTAAAGGTAGTGGAATTACTCAGAAGACGAAGAAAACTCTGGTACCTCGACAGCTTTCCCTGTGAACTGGGATCCAGTGGCTCCACTCTGAAACGTCCTGGTCTGGTTCAGCTGGATGAGACCTTTGTGATACTGGAGAGCCACTCGAGCTGTAACACCAGAACCAGTGGGGCTTCGGTCCACCTGAGAACACGTTTAAACCAGTTAAAGCCAGATAATACTAGTAAACCCGACAGCCAGTGTCTGTTCTGTACCTACTGCTCTCCTTAAAGTGACAAAGTGGTAAGATACCTGAGCTTCTGCGAACACACAGACATTGGCGGTGGCATCAGAGGAATAATTATCTTTGCCGTCAGTGAGGATGGTGCCGTAGAGGAAGGCCAGATCGTCGCTGGTCGGGTGATGCAACTTCACCTACGAGAGAAAACGTCAAATAAACTGAAATGAACATACAAAATGTGGACAAATGTATGTGGACAGCCCCTTTACATATTTTTGGTCCTGATAGGTCTGGGGTTATTCTTGTTGTGGAAGAACTTGAGTGGCCTGCATGGAGCCTAACCCCTTACCTCAGCCTCACTGAAAGAACTGTAACACCAACTGAGAGAAATCAGTGTCACACCTCATTCTTACATGGGTACAATGTTCTGGTCACTACATACTTTGGTCGTGGAGGGGATCTGGTTTCAGCTACTGACTTTTTATCTACAATCTTGCCCTGTGTGTCACTGATATTACCTGGTATCTTTTATTTTTTTTTTTATTTATTCATGTACCGAATATTCATGATTTGTGATGACTAAGACAACTGCAAATATGAAAAAAGGAGAAGTAGGGTACAGTAATGGATTTTTTTTTTCAGATGGTTTGATAACCAGCAATGACCTGCTTTCAACACTGTTCATTTATTTTTTTCTACAAAAGTATAAAAAAAAACACACAAAGAGCACAAAGCCTATAAACCTTTCCTAAGGATTCAAAATATATTATTATTATTATGGACCAATAATTTATCAGCTGTAATTAATTATCGGGATAATTCATAATAATATAAATTTCCCATAATTGTGCATCCCTAAGATTTCCTGTGTAAATCAGCCCCTCTCATTAGCCTAAACTTTAACTTGTGCCTAAAGTCGAAATAAAATCAAACTCTTTATTCTACTTACTTTAAACTGTGTGCCTTCTACTAAATCTAAATTATGAATGTTATTTCAATTGTTAGAGGTACATATTTTATTAGAAAAAGTTAGTTAGTTTTCCCTTTGCCTGCACTGAGATCACCGTGTGTACAGATTAAACACAGGGGAACAATATAAACTTCTTACCTGAGATTTGACAGCGTCGGTCACCGCTGTGGCTGCGTCCACCAGATCTCGAGTCCTGGACTTGGTCACATCAAGGCCAAACCTCTGGGCGTTTACAAAGGCGTAGAAGGCTCCTCCGTAGCTGATGTCGACCACCACATCTCCAAACCCTTCCACTGCCACCGTCACATCTGGTGGAAAGTCATGTAGTTAGCCCTGCAGGACATAAAACCACCTGCGAACAGTTTTGAGGGTCCTACCTGTAGCAAACGCAAACGCTGGCACACTGAGAAACCTCACTCCTCCTGTTTTACCATCAGAATACTCAACAAACGCCTTTACCAGACCGCAGGGACAGTGTATGTTCACTTGGGTCTCAGGCGACTGTGGTTCTTTCACCAGTTTGTAGTCCACAGCGAAGCGTCCCAGTGCGATGACGGCGTGTCCACACATGGTGCTGTAACCCTCGTTGTGCATGAACAGCACCCCCAGATCGGCCTCGGGCAACTCGCTGTCAACGATCAGGGCTCCGTACATGTCGTAGTGTCCCCGGGGCTCGAACATCAGCACCCTCCTGAGGTGGTCCAGATGTTCCCGGACATAACGGCGTTTGGACAGCACGCTGTCACCTTTGACCTCTGGGTAGCCGCTGAGGATGACCCGTAGAGGCTCTCCACCTGTGTGCATGTCGACCACTGAGAGCTCAGCTCCCTCGTGAGGCGGAAGCTGCATTTCCATCTCAGCACTAAAAGACGAAATTAAAAACAAAACGCTTTAGGCCAAAATCCAGACAGATTTTTACTATCTTCTTACACACAGTTCAGCGGTTTTTAAACATAATTTAACATCTCTTCTTAGAGGTTTCCAGATTAAACTACAAAAAATACTACCTTAAGGAAGGATATAATGTTTTATACTAAAATCTTTTCCCATCAAACAAAACTGAAATATTTCAGGTGCTGAACATGCCTGGGTAAACACTGGTAGGAGTAAAAAAAAAAAGGGGCTTCTGGGTCTCTATCTCCCACTCTGTGCAATGTGTATGTTTTTAAATGCCTGAATACTGCCTTAATTAAAAAAAATAAACATATTAAATTGCAACATAACACAAAACTACCTTCCTACTAGATGTTGGTACAGGACCTCAAGATCAGGTAATAAAACCCAACCCACCTGATCAACACTGATCAACCCTCGTCAGTTGATGGTGCGCTCTAGTGATGCATATTCCCAAATAAATGTTCAATTCATTTAGCACAAATCAGCTGACACACAGTAATCAACCTAAGTAAGAGTTCTGGGCCGGTTGCAGACAATCTATTGAGGGCTTCAACAAACTTTGGCTAACACTTCTGATTTATGATCTATCGTCACTGTGAATGATGAGAGCCAGTTTCCACAGAAGTAACTGGTTTCAGACCAGCAAATGAAGAAAAGTTTCACCCAAATTCAGAGGCTGGATTTTAATATTTCAGTAGTGTTTTGATCTGTAGCTGTCTCTTAAATGTGACCTCAAGAGTGAAATATGAATTCATTATTCCTCAATTAAATGCAATAAGATAAAGTTTGACAACATTTGTTGATAAAGAGGAGAATGTGCTTCTGTGCATCTATTCAGCTGCCTGTGAAGTCAATTCATTCTAGAGGCATGACTTCAACTTTATGGAGAACTGAGATTGAATAGATTTGGTTTTCTTTTCTCAACTTTATTTACTTAAGTCATTCACATTAAGCAGAGGGGTGTCATCTAAATAAAAACATCACAGCACAAATCCATCGTTTTAACAGCTTTGTTATTATTAGAAGAGGAAACTGTGTCATCTACTGTTTGATTCTATGAGTAATAAAATAATGTCAGTATCTCCTGTTGATTGTTTGTATCATAATTGTTGAAACCAACCAAACCAAACCTTTTTTACAAAAAGTCAGAAGCTGTGTTATGAGTTATGGAGGTTATATTCCGACAAAATAACTGTTTAATTCATTGTTTAATAAACAAATAGAGACTAAATAATATTTTGCCAACTGGAGTCTGAACAGGATAAAGACACACTGCTGATTTCTCTGCACCTCCGAACTGTTAGAACTAATAATATTATTACTGAACCAGTGATCGGAAAGCAAAGATTCGTTTTTAAAGTTGTATGGTCTTCAATAGAAGTAAATCAGAAGTTAAACGTGGCAAATATTCGCAGGACAAAAATGTAAAGAGATCAACGCTTATTAAATCCATGCAACTCACCTGAGCTTTAAACTTTCTCTGCTTTAGGATCAAACTTCTGCAGCAGTCTTCAGTACTTTTCATTCCTCCTGTGCATGCGTGTTTGAGTGTGCAAAGACAATAACATGAGACAATAGTGCCACCTGGTGTCCTGGAGGGCTGCAGACATGAAACATTCAATAAACTTTATTTTTCAGTTTAATGAAAAGTCCAGATTTTTGGACTGCCAGTCATTCTTTGCAGACTTATATAATAATTTATAAGCTATATTTTCATGTTTCAACGTTGATGATTGACAGAAAAAGCAGTCAGTGCTGATGCATGTCTCTCCCTGTGCTCTCTCCCCACCTTTACTGTCTGTTATTGATCGTTTTTCTGCTTCAGAAGGAACAGCTTTCCTTCCTTACCTTTACTGATAATCAAACAGCTCCACAGTTTCTACCTGTTAACTGCTTTGACTCACCTGGATCAACAAAAGCACAGGTGAAAGATGAAACCCAGTCTGTGTGTTGTAGCTTTAAGTGTTTTTGATTCACAACAATAAACAACAGACGGTGAGCAGGCATCAGTTTTCATTATTCATTTCACACTTGACAGGTTCCCTGGATGCATGCAAGGTCATTTATATATCTAAAATAAAATAGATTCGACTAACAGTCACGTGCTTACATCCTTAGAGTTCATACTCAGATGATTCACAGTCAGAAAGGAAATTAAAAAAACATGAACTAAAACTGTAACCATGCGGTTTGTTCATCATCATTCTCATTTTAGCCAAAACATTTAGATTTGCATAGCGAGTGTGTGGTGACTCATCAAAATATTGCATTACTAATTTAATCTTACAAGTAGACAAATACAAATCACTGGTAATGAAATAAATATTGAAATTCAATCAAATATACCTGAGCAAGAGGCAAAGTCACATGAGGGATTTACAGTAAGTTTGCTGCAATTACCTGTTGAAATATTCACATCTTGTTTAAGGAAAATAAATCTTTCACAGGAAAATTGAGATAATGATAATTAACAATAAAAATCTATAATTAAAGCACTATTATCGCATTCCTATTACTATTTAACATGCGTGGTAATGAAAGTAATACACAGTGCAGGGTTAATATTTTTATAATATAAAACTCAAAGACCTTAAAAGAGTTGATTATGTCTCATTAAAACAATTCTGAATGAGGCTTTATTATTGTAAGGCACCTATTATTACCTGACAATTAATAACTCTAAAGGTAGCCACTAATGTTACTCCTCTGAAGAAGAGGAGCAACAAAAGCCGACCAACTGAGAGTTTCCTGCTAAATAAGATAAAGGGAGACATTTATTTAATGGAAAGGGAGATTGTGTAAACGTTTTCTGAGCTCCAATCTGTTGAGCTGCTTCCTCTAAGACACAAGCAAGTTAAACAATAATGAAGGTTATAGCTGGTGAAGCTTCTCCCTTAAACCTTTGTTCAGGCATTCTACCAAAAACTGTAAATTAACATCAAGAAAGAAGTCTAGGAAGATCGTGAAGATGACAGCTTCACAAAAAGACTTAAAGGTCCAGTGTGTCACATTTATGAGGATCTATTGGCAGAAATGTTTATGCAGTAGCCCAGAAGGGACAAATCACACCCTGGCTCTAGATAGAGGTGTTTTTCACACATTTCAGTGCACTGTGCACTATATTTTCTCCTTTGTGCTTGGAGAGTTAACCAGGGAGTTGCGATCATCTGCAACTACACCACTAGATGCCACTAAATCCTACACACTGATCCTTTAAAATGTGCCTTGACCTTAATATTTTTACTGATCGTCCCATCAGGCTAAGATGTTTTAACAAAAGCCGTCATCGGAGATACGTGAGGTATGTAGCTCTATGTTGATTTATAATGCTTGTAAAAATGTACTAATTCCCTAGCAATAAATAAAGCAACAAGTGTTTTTTTATTGTTTGTTCAGCAATTGTTCCTGTTCCTTCTTGGCATTCTCAAACGTAGCACACACAGGATCATAAAATGATCATCTTTTAGAATAATCCCTGGGTTTTTGTAGTGCTAACATAACATAAAAGGGATTTCTGCATGCAGTCAAGTGTTTAATGTAAGAAATGTCTTTGGTGGGCCAGAGTCCAGCAGGACATGCAAACTGGTGCTTCTTATAAATCTGTTTATCAGTAAATTCAAAAAGGCCCATCATCTACTTCCGGTGTGACAGGCTTGGAGGCAGCAAACGGTTCTTGACTTTTCACTCTGGCCCTCGGGGAGGACGTCGGTGGCAGTGAGAGTCTTCTTTTTATCGACAGCAGCCTGAGGATCTCGCTCACCTGAGATTCGAGGACTGATAGGCGACCGCTCAGGCTCTGAATGTCGCCCTTCAGATCCAGCTTGGCCTCGTGCAGGGTCGCTTGAAGGAGCGCTTGTTCGGACACCGGCTGGACGAAAGAGTGTTTGAGGGAGTCGACCCCGAGACTGTGCTCGAATGGGTTCTTCTCCATGGGGCTCTTTTCCATAGGGCTTCTTTCAAAGGAGCTTCTTGAATCTCCAGCCCGGTCTATGCGTAGATCGCTCTTTGTGATTCCACTGTCACAGGAGTCCGTTTTGTGCAGGGCACTTGTTTCTTCACCTGCTTCTCCGGTGCTGCTGCCACCCTCTGCGCTCGCCATCTCCTCCGAATCCTGGTTCTTGTTGGCAGCTGCTAACTGCTCTGAGGACTGTGATCCTTTGGGCCACTCCTCTGCTTTCTGGGGCTGCTTTTCTTGCTGGACAGCAGGAGGCAGTGGTGCGGGTGGTGCGGCTGAAGCGGCAGTTTTAAACTTTGCCCAGCCTCGAGCACCTTTGCCGCTGGCTACGACACTTACAGCTCTCTCCCCGCCTGCCCCACTGCTCCGTACAGGGGTTCTGACCCTCTGACAAAGCTGACTCTCCACACAAGGCCTTGGTATCGACTCCCCGGCCTCTTGTGTGCAGGTTTGCTCAGACTCCTCAGTGTGGACAAATGCTTGTGAAGATGCAGCCACACTGCCTGCACCCCCTCCTCCTCCTGTGCAGGGTGCATTATTCTGCACCGTGGAGCTGTACTCCTGCTGAGAAGATACAGACTGACACTGCGTGTAAGAGTTTGAGTCGGAGCGATGGTGGTGCTGCGGCTCCACCTGCACACAGTTATGATCAAAGTAAGTGTGAGACTCTCCTGGTGTTTCAGCGTCTCTCTGCTGTCTGAACCTCTGGAACAGTTTGCGTACCGGGTGGTCTTCAGGAATGGAGAGAGCCACCTCGTTCCTCTGGCGCTCCTGCTCCCTCTTCACATCAGCAATCTTTCTGAAGATTATCTGCACGAGAGGAGGGTGGGATGTACACATTTAAATTACAATAGTAAAGCTCTGCAGAATATACATATATAATGCAGCTTTAAGTCAAGGGTAACCATCCAGACCTGCTGCAGTATGTATGTTGAAATATTAAAGACTTGAAAGCAGCAATGCACAAGGGAAACTGTAAATGGAGCAATAATGGAGTGATATTGAGTCCCTAAGAGTTTCTGATTCTCTCAGAAGACAAAGAGAGGAAATGTTGATCGTCTCAGCTTCTGTCTTTTCTTTCTTGGACTTTGCATTTTGATCGATGATGTTGAAGAAACTGTGAGAGTAACTATCAATACAATGTTTTCCAAATTCCAAATTGATTATTATGATTGATTGTTAAATGAATGATTAAACCCCCCATGTTGACAAAAACTACCAGTCGTCAACTTCTTTCATAACATATTTCAAAAATATTATAACTCATCTGTTGATTATTATATTAAAAACCAGAAGTTTCTTGGTCTAATCCTGATCCAATTTTGCTGAGGTGCCCATGAGCAAGAGAGTTCATCCCAACAAATAACTGCAAGCAAATGCATTTGAGCTGGTGTTTATGTGCAGTTTAGATGCTCATTCATGCACATGCAAGTTAACTGAACAACAGAAGCACAGAGTAAATCTTAAACATACGCAGTTTCTAAAGCTGCTCAAATGAATAATAGATGGCTTTGTTTTCATTGAATATATTTTAAGTAAAAGCCATAAATCTTTGAACATGTTGCCACAATTTGCCTCGAAATTGTTTAGATGTAGAGCTGCTTCACTGAGGCTGTTTGACTTCAGTATATATGATTATATAAGACCTCTTTATAGTGGAGCTGTAATAAACTAGAGAAGTCAGAGGGGAAATTAAATGCATATAGTTATTTAAAACATTATAAAATCATTAGAACCCTGGACATCTTATAAACACACTGTTATAGTATGACTGTGTTTGTTTTGTTAACTTAGGGTTGCTATTCTAGATATACAGATTATATTAAGTAAATGTGATTCTTTTCAAAAGCTTCTCGTATAAAATCTACTGTACCTCAGAGGTATTTCATATGACCAAGTCCTGAACAAAGAGCACAGCACATCATATGTACCATACTGACTTTAAAGGGAATATTCATTAAGAATGTATGATCCCATAGGATAATATTACAGAGTTATATGAGAAAGTTACTATCAAGACTGCACAGTAATACATCTCAATGCCTTAATTGGATTCATATGTAAAGCATGGAATAAGCTCTATCAAATATTAATAAAAGTCTTAATTTGGACTCAAAGAATACTTATTTCTGATGATTCTTATTTTCAGGTGATTATACTCTAATGAAAACACACCTATGAATATTATATTTTATTACTGCCAATATATCCTCCTAAATGTTACACACTGGTGTCTTTCTGCAGTAAAATGGTCCCTGTGACTGTTTTACTATTATATATGATGTTTTTTATTACTGCTTCATTAACGTGGATGTTGCATTTTACTGCTGGAAGTTGTTTAAGGTTGAACTCATTTGAACTAATTTATATACTGTTGGGTAGTTTAATCTACAGCAAAGCATAATATTATATAATCATATATCAAATCGCTGTGAGAACCACAGTAAAAAAGTAAACGTTTTATGAGCTCAGATAAACAGCCCTTTGTGACAATGCATTTTCAGCTAAACCAAGAAAAATGTTAAATAGTTTATTTATCTTAAGAAGTAACTTTAACTGTTAAATGTAGTGGAATAAAAGTACTATATGTACCTCTGAGATGAAGTTGAGTAGAAACATACAGTAAAGTTTCTTAGAAACTAATAATATATAGTAGTATATACTAATAATATGTACCCTGAATTTGTATAGTACTTGAGTAAAAGTACTTAGTTACATTCCACCACTGCAGGGCACTTTGGCGGTCTAGGGTTTAAGACTTTTACTTCCTGTTACACTTTTACTCTCTGCTCTCTAATAAAGACATAAAATCCCCCCCAAAAATATTTCAAAATCAATAAATAATCTTGGGTTTACTGGTTTTAACCTTAAAGGAACTACTATGTTTTACATACAACAGTGAACAACAGCTACACTTTCCAGGAGGAGTTGAAGAGTTTTAGTCCTTTTTACCCGTTTTCGTAGATTGCAGGTGAGGATGAGGTTGCGGGAGAATGTGTTGGCGAATGCCGTGTAAAAGTCCAGCACCCTCATCAGAGCTTCTCTCCTGATGACGTGCAGGTCACAGTAAGTCAAAGCTCGTACATTTGCACAAGCCCGGGCCAGCGTGGTCTCTTTCCAGAACACATCTCCAAACACATCACCTTTACCTGGATGGAGCCAGACATTATCACTGTGTTTATAACGGGGAAAAGTGTTGACATAAATAACTCATGTGACAAATTTCAGGGGACCACAGTAATGTAATAGTAAACTTTAGAGCTTTCAGTGAGCCAGACAACGTATATTGCTTATATTCAGGTAGAGGATAACCTAAAAGTCTTTGCACTCAGGTAACCTTTGCTCTAGTTTTATCTCGGCCAACAGGGACAGATAAAAGGTGGCCTTGTGTACTCATAATATTACGTTTGATTACCAAGTATTGCGATAACCTCATCATCCTGGATGACTTCTAGTGACCCAGAGACCACAAAGCAGAGGGTGTCGACACTCTCTCCAATATGGAAGATGAGGTCTCCGGGTGCACAGTGTGTGGTCTGAAACTCCACAGCTAGAGAGCGCAGACAGCCATCGCTGGCCAGACGAAATGCCGGGTGGTCGTTGAACACCTGCCTGTTCAGGTGAACGCAGATGTCTGCCCGCATGTCCTTGGGACAAATTGAGAGAACCTGAGAAAGATGGTGAGATATCAGAGCAGTTAATCACGTATCATTACTGGTTCAAAGCAGTCAAAGGTTTTTTATTGTATTTCCTATCTTTAAGGGAGTCAGTAAGGTAAGATAAAACAACTGAAGCAGAAACAGGCAGATGTTTTAGGTCACCAATCCCAGGGACTAGTTAATTCATTTCTGTATGCTCTTATCAATGGGTAGGTTGTGACATAGAAATCAAATTCTAGGCACTCAAGAGTTTCAAGTGGATGGTTAAACAACAAGCCTTTAATAAATGTGGGCTAGTACATTATAAAAACACACCAATACACACATGGCTACTTCAGGGTGTCTTTCATTTAATTAATTATTGCTGATTAAAATACAAATCCGCTATTACTTTGGCCGTAGCTTAGCAAAAATATAACTCACTAACACTTATCTGGCGTCTCTTTCCAGAGCTGCAGGAACCTCTAGGTGCACGCGATCCAGCAAAGTTTCACTGAGTTCCTGAGTGTCAGCGAGTAAACTCAGTGATCTGCTGTGACCTTTGAGGCTCGTTATTGTTCATATTGCCACATCTGTCAACCCTGCACATACATGTTTTATGATACTGTTTTGATAGCGTTCAGATGCACAGAGCTGTGCATCAGTTTAACTTTGGACTTTAGACACACATGTAGCCACTGCAAAACTCTTTCCAAGCAGTGCATTGTGATAACTAGAATATTCCAATTTTATTTATAGTATATATTAGATACATTATGAGAATAAGGTGTTGTTGTGGTCACAGGTGTTTGTTAGATCCATACCCTATCTGTGTCAATGCCCTTAGACATGGCCCAGGTGGAGACGATGAAGTCCATGACCCTCTCACTCAGACCTTTGGGAACCTGATAAAGCTTCAGGAAGTCGCGCACATTGTTGAGCATCTCATGGTAGCGATTTGTGTTGGTGTACATCTGCTGGAAGATGGTGGTGACATTTCCAAAAATGGTTGCGTAAAGCAGCGCTGAAACAAAAGACGGAAGGCAAAAGTCAGGCAAAAACAAAGCAGCCTTGCAAACAGGGGGACATTTAGGGCTGATTCATTCAGCATCATAGGACAGGAGGATAGGTTTTATTCTAGTAAATCATTTGGGATGATTGAGATTTTGGTTTCACATAAAGGTCTGAAATGTTTTCAGGTCTAAATATTTATTATATTTTACAGGATTTGTTTTGCAAACAGTATTCAGGTATGTCACCTCAAATTGGGTTTAATTATTAGTTATTTTTTATTGGATTATATGCATGTTTTAAGGTTTAAGGGAGTAAACAAAAATACAAAAACACATAATATGTCTAGCACCTTTAATGGACTATTTTTTTTTTCAATCATGGTGCAAATTAAGCTCAACTTGACCACAGAAATAATCAATGAATAGGTTAAAGTAACATAGTAAGATATATCCATATATTCTATGCATATTTAGTCTCTACTGAGTAAAAACCCCTTCAAACTTAAGGTAAAACGTATAAACTAAAAGACTGTTTTAATGTTTTAGGGGACAATTTTAGGGGTTTAAACCCAAACTGTGCATATAATCTGTCAATAAATATATTACAAAGCATTATCTATTATTATCTATTATTAAGGAAAATATTTTCATTTTTTCTTATCACAAATACCTTAATTACATAATTATGATTGTGTAAATCCATTGAATTTTAAGGGTAAAAGTTAAGGGAATTGGTTTCATAATAGAAACATTGTAGTGAATGTTGGTGACCATGTGACATAATGCTTGATAAATACAAATAAAGTAAACAATGATATTTCACTACTACTGATCATTTGGCTAAAAACTGCTGCTAGTGCAAATTATGTGATTCTGCAAAATAATTTATTTTGCTGTAAATAGTCTACAGTCCCAGCATAACACTGTATACTTAGTTCTCTTAACAGTTAACACACACGTATAACAAGTGGTGGATTGAGTCTTTGTAGTGTAATTCATTATGCACATTTCCTCGGTAAGAGTACTGTGCTGCAGCACTGCAGTGACCTCAAAGAGTCAGTCAGTATCTCTTATCGTGAGGTTTTACCCACTCAAGAGGAAAGAGTCGTCTCCAGTCGCCGCAGCAGGATCACAGAGGTTAGGATACATATCTAACGTGATGGCTCATTGTCCTTTTACTACACTTGAGCCTGCAGGCAAACTCTCCCTTTTCCTATTCCTCTCGCATAATTACTGTATCTGTAGCAGGAGATTTATCGGCCGTAATTGAACCAGACAGTTCAGTGTGACTGAGTGATCTTCGTGATCGAAACACCACAAGAGTACTGGGTGTTTACTTTCTGTAAGTACAAACCTTGAAGCGTGGCTGTCAGTTTGGGTTTCCCTCACTGTTTTATTGCATCACTTTACATGCTGTTTTAGAGGAGTGGGCCAAAGGTTAGAGAGCGAATAAGAGTCGTGACGGAGGAGCTGTAACAAAAAAAAGGCTGACAGTGGAGGCAGTGACACTAAAGGTGAAGCTATTACTGTAACTGTAGTGGGTGATGAAAATAAGACAGATAGATATAAATAGATTTTCTATTTTTATAAAGAGGTTTGAAGCCATTTAAAGGAGGTTGCTTTGACTTTTACTTGAGACTCGTTTTTGTGAATGAAACATTTGATGTGGTGACTCTAACGTTCAGCGCTCCCTAAATCACACATAGTTTTAATGTAAATGTAGAAATATGACTCTGAAAGACTATTAAGGCAGCTGTTTATAAGACAGTAGTGTTATACAACATGCTACAGTCTATCACATGTGAGTTTGTGTTACACAAGACTCTACATAATAAGCTTGATCTTGATCTAATTCACAGTTGTGTCTCATCTAAACCTTCAACTCAACCAGATCTGGAATCAAAACCAACAAATATACAGAATTTATAAAAAAATGTGTGTGTGGCTTTTACCTGGACTCACTTTATCAGTTTATATAAGCATGAAAGTAGCCTTCTGCATTAAGCATCAGTGACAGAGCAATTTGATAATATAAAAAACATTATTCCTTGAGTTTAAACACACCCAAATAATTTCCGTATGAGTGAATTAACACAAAACCAGTTCCTTTCTGATGGAGGGTAGTAATGACTAACCTTCAGACCCTCACCCTCATAGAGCAGGATGTGATGGGCGCTGAACATGTCACTTTTTATTATCAACAAAGCCGAGACTTAAACTCTCCCCAGTGGTTCAAACACTGAGGCTGCGGCTAAATGTGAATTACACGACCAGAGTCAAGCGAGCCTATGAATTACAGAATACTGTCGAGCATAAAATAAATATTTATGTATGCAAAATTTTAAATGGCAGCTTCATTGTCCAGGAATTAACGGTTCTTTTCGGATTAATCACAAATATACTGCTTATTTTAACGTGTCCTGATGGGACAACAGATGAAAACTAATCATTTGGATAAATCTGGCACATTGTTATCATATCATGAAATCAATTTATGTGAATTGTCCCTGATGAATAAGAAAAGTAGATTTAATTTAAATCCAGGTTGAAAGACTGGGATGGATTCAGCCTCAGTCCTGAATATTTTATGATCTAAGGCTGATTCCTTCCTTCCTGTCCTACTGATATCATTAACATAGTTTAACAAGGTGATCCTGGCTAGATCACCACAACAAGAACTGTGTAACCGTGTACAGCAGGCTTGTCACGTGGGCTGGTGATTTTTAGAGAGAGAAAAAAAATGAATGAACCACAAGTCTCATTTATCCTTCTTCTTTGTATCAATATATATATATTTTTAAATTACCATTTACATGGGGCAGCAGCTAAAAATACTAAGCCACCACATGCCTATCCATAGGAACCCCTTATGTGTTGATCCTACTGAGCTTCAATTGTACTTTACGTCTGTGCAGATTCTCCTGAACCAGTACAACATCTACACCATATGTTGCTTTACTGGCAACCGTCAGATAGCCAGCCGGGCTGTGGAGCACATTATCGAGTCTAGCATGCAAGTAAATGCATCCAGATTGTTTCGGCGCCTGCAAGTGTGCACTGGCACATTATGAATGAATGAATGAATGCATGAATGAAATGAAAACAGAATCAAATGATTTATGTATCATTTGCTTTAGAGTGATGGGCAGATTTAAAAGTGTTTATTTCTACACAGATGTTCTTCTGCTGTCATATGCCAATTATAAATTACCTTCCTAAGGCAGATAACAGATAATCGCTCTTTATAGGCAGCTGTCACTGTTACACTAACCCTTGTTGTAGATAGCTAGCTGTACGGTGGCCCAGAGGTGTCAAATGAACTGCGAAAGCCCCAACACAAATGAAAAAGCCATAACTAAAATGTAATAATAATATATAAATAATTAAATATATAATAAATAATATAACAGAATAATAATCAACATTAATATTGAGGAAGGACAATTAGCCCACATTTTATTTGATGCGGGGCAGTAAGGACCTGGCTAATGGATTGGGGGGCGCCCAAAAAGTTGGACAACCACTGTTTCCACTGCCTCACTTACGGCTTAAACATTAATTTTCTGCCTTTTGCAGTTTGCTCAACACCTCGTGGCCACAATAAAGCTGGGATAGCCCTAGACTATATAGATAATATTAGCCCTGAATGACACAGCTCAGACAAAGTTTGAATGACAAAAATGTCAAATTGTTCAAATCTTTTTTATGTTGATTAGGATTTTTTTTTTGCACATTACCAAACAGTGTTAAATATACAACATCCAGCTGGCTTGAGCATGAACTTAATACCATAATGGCTAAAATACCAGTGTCCAAACTGGGGCATGTCTGAAGAAAGAGTGCATAATCAAAATTCTGATGCAACCTTTTCTTTTTTGTAGTGTTTCAGCACATATTGCCTTCATACTGTACACCACTGAAACAACAGTGGGGCTGCTTTTCTTTGTCTCTACTCAGATTGATTCGGAGTGTCAAGGTTGTGCTGTATGTCCACTGAAAAAGAAAAACAGTGGTCACTTTGATTTAAGCAGTTTTGAAAAGCTTAGCTTGAATTTCACTTGACAAACTGTCCACTGGGAATTGATATATTTGTGCTATTTGTCAGAGGCTTGGAAGACAACAAGAGACAGTGGAGGCCTTGTGTTAATTGGAAGTTGTTTAAATGTGTGTGTTTATGGGGTAAAAAGAGCTTGTGTGTATCTGTATTTACTGCTCCATTAACCACTCATACCAACAGTAGTGAAAGAATGATACTATTTGTTATGTAATATCAGATCTATTAGACGTGTTTTTTTTCAAGGGATTTAGAAACATTGCAATTTTACAATGAGAAAGAAAGAAAGAAAGCACATCTGTCATAAAATATTTTAAATAAATAAGGGTAATTCCGGTGTTTTTATCACCTTATTGGAAGACTTGGAGCCGAACTAACCCTTCAAACCAACAAAGTCACACAATAGTACAAACAAACTAACCGATCAAGGCAGTGGTAGACCAGCAACTCCTGTGTTTAGCAGGGAAAAATTACTATTTTTCTCAATGGAGTCTGGAGTCTAACAGCTGTTTCTGGTTAAACAGGATCTTACAAATCAGTCTATCTCCAAGGGATCCTTTCCATTATGTTGTCGGACATAATGGAAACAAACAGTCCGAGCCTGTCAGTGGCAAACACAAGCACTTTCAGAGAACGTACTTTGACAGGTGCATTTGCCCCCAAGGATTACATTGCAGCCTGTTTTGCAGCTCCCAGCTGAGGCGATCTACTTGACAATTCCAAAGCTTTTTGTACTTTGTAGTTTTTGTATGTATGTAAAAATACTGGAATTACCCTTTAATATTGGAAAGTAATCAAGTACTTACAGCCCACCATCATCATAGCCACGGAGAAAATCTTCTCGCCATCTGTGGCCGGAGCAATGTTGCCAAATCCAATGGTGGTGAGACTCGTCATGGTAAAGTACAGAGAAGAAATGTACAACGTGTCCTTGTTGGGACCACCTTCCCACTGTCCTGTACCACTGACGTTGTAGCGGTAAGGAGTCCCAATGCTTAGAGCCAGCTGGTAGAGCCAGCTGTCTGTCTTAATGGTGTTGGTGGTTTCATCGATTACCTCGTAGTCCCCAATGCTGTACCAGATGCAAGCTAGCCAGTGGGCCACCAGACCAAAAACACACACCAGCAGGACCAGGACAGCTGCTCCGTACTCCAGGTAGTGGTCCAACTTCCGGGCCACTCGGCCCAACCGCAACAGGCGGATCACCTTTAGGGAGCTGAACAGGCTGCTGAGACCCTACAATGAGATACAGGTGGAAGATGTGAGTCGGACATCATTGAGGTGAAATAATTGGTCGAAGATTAATCAGCAAATAATTTGATGATTGATCAATCATTTAAGGAATTTAACAAAAATTAACTTGTTTATTTGCTGCTGTTTTTTAATTCTTCTATGATATTAAACTGAATGTTTTAGGTTTTAGACTGGTGACTGGAAAAAAAAAAGCAATCTAAATGTGTCAACTTAAGTTTTGAGAAATTGTGTTTTCTGACATTTTATCGACCCATATTAATCAATAGAATTTTTTTTTTTGTCTATTTCTCAGAGATCGCAGATTATTTCAACTATCAATCTATAACTCTCCTTTTAGCTCTGTTTTGGTCTCCCACAACTCCTGAGGGAAATATTAAGCTCTTTAGTATATAAATGCTACACTATCATCATGTTTGTCCGACACATATGTCCCTTGAAGTTTGTTTCTTTCTGTATGTATGTTCTATACATATAAAGGAAAATGTAATCACAAAAAAGATAATTTAAAGTAATAAGTTGGTTAGCAGCTTTTCCTTACTGTGAGCACAGAGTCTTCTGTCCGTGTGGTATTCCTGTGGAAATGTGAAGACTCGCGGAGATGACTTGCTGAAGAAGCAGATGTGATGACCTCCTTCATAAAGACAGGCAATAAGAAATGTCTTGTTATTTAAATGCAGTGTTAAGTACCATTTTTAATAGACATTTTAACAATAAATCAATCCCCAAAGAGAAGAATTGTCCAAAAAATCATCCTCCACTTAAAGAGCAGGTTTGAAATTCACCCACCTCCTCAACATTGTCAAAGGCGTTGATTATATCGTAGGGCAGACAGGACAGCAGGTCGATGACAAACCACGTCTTCATGTAATTCATGCGTATCAGCTTTGCGTCTGAAATGACTTCCCCGGCAGGACCCACAAAGGTGGTGTGGAAGTTGAGCACGATGTCGATCAGGAAGATGACGTCTACGACACTGTCCAGCACCAGCCAAGCCAGATTGTTTTGCTTTGTCTTAAAGGAGACGTTATAGGGCACCATGATGGCGGTGTAAAAGGTGAGGATGAGGATGACCCAGTCCCAGGTGGTCTTGAAGGTGCAGTAGTGGAGGATAATGTGTGGAGGGGTCTTAGGGGCCTCCTGTTTGTACTGAGGCAGAATGTCTGATCCCAGCTGGAGAGCCTTTCATTGACAGGGAACATTTACCATCATGAGGACAGAATCACGTGTACAAGAGTGGTCTGATCTTTACCTGATGATTACCATTAAACTCAATGGTAGCTGGGATAGTAATACTGACTTACTGTAATATAATGTCATCATACAACAATATGGACCAAAAGTTTCCATAGATGTGCTTTGTAACCTTGCGATTCAATTTTAGGGTGGATTTTTCCTTGGGAAGTATACTCGTGACTTGATTGGAAAAAAATATTCTTTTAAGATTCTATCTTTAGGACACTTTGTTGATTTAACTTGAGGTATTTTGAAGTAGATACATTCGAAAACAATCTCTTCTTTTAGACCTGGATGCTGCTCACCTCAGCCAGTCTGGAGGGCTTGTGGCTGACCTCCGCCTTGCTCAGCGGTGGTAACTGCTGCACCAGGTTGCGATTGTTGGTCAGTGCCCGGGTTAGTCTGGCGAACTTTGTCCATCCGGCTTAAGAGACAAAAAGACAGACATTCACTTTAGGAAAGTCATATTTCCAATATATATGATTGTGCATGAATGCATCATGCTGGCAGACTTTTCAATACATCTGGACCTTTAACTGCATTTCTGTACAGAAAGGAACATTATGGTATTGTACATCACCCAAATATATTCTATGTAAACATTCCAGTATATTCCTCTCTATAATCAACAATGCAATGTGATTCAGCAACAAAAGATGATAGCACATTGACTTTATGCTGAATAGGACTTGACGGTGTTCAGATCTTCACTGTAAAACCAGCCAAATCTTGTCATCTGGTTTAATTTTGCATTAAAAAGGGACTGTGTTCTTTTATTCCCTCTGTGTACAGTCAGTATGTTCATACATTTCCATGTGGTCTGAGTGTCCCTTGTTTCTGCTTGATGTTAGCAAAAGTCTTAGTGGCACACTTAATCCCCTGGGACATGGCACTGAACCACAGAGACCGGTGTTCACTGACCCGCACACACAACACCTGGACAGTTGTATGTTACATACCAGGAAACAAACGTCTGTTAAGTCACAGTCATTCATGTGTGCTCGAGACTTTCGGCTGCACTGCACCCTCCATTGTGGTGAGCTTTTATATCAATGGGTGAACCTTGATGAGCATTCACTTGATATAAATACGTGTTCTAACCCTTTAGTATATGCAATAAGAATGGAAAATGCCAGAAATGGATGAACTCCAACAATTTATCATGACTACACTGACACTGACTGAATGCATTCAGGTTGAAACCCTTTGGTCTAGATACAAGATTATGAACTCTGTTACCTCTAGTTGCTTCATCTTCAATTGGCTGTTTGAACAGTGTAATGTCTCTGAAGGTGCAGAGGAAAAGCACCACCTTCTCGTTTTCATTTCTGATGGGAGCTACCTGCATGTACAGCCATATTGGTGTTCCTGTAGGAAACAATTCAAATGAGAGTTGTGAGAGAAATGGAAAACGGTACCTAAACAAATGGGACGAATAGGAATAAAAAAACATTTTTAATCATGCATTTAATGTAGCAGTGATACTCACTATTCTTTGTGTAGAGCAGCACCTCGTAGAACTGGGACTCATAGTTATCAAAGGTCTTTCTGATTTTGTCTATAGTGTTCTTATCAGTCAGGTCACCATACATGAAACTGCAAAATTAGGGAGAAAGAATAACAACAAGCAAAAGGGAGCGTGTTGTTATTAGGTGGTCATGAAGAAAGAAAGTCAGATGATTAAAGACAGACGTAAGTGAACTGAATACTTTGTCTAAATTTCTCTATCGTTCATGCTAATCAGTGGACACATTTTCTATAGATAACAGCAGGAAGATCAAGTATTTTATGTCCGGTGCTGTGTCTGTTTTGAATTAGTTGATCTAAGATATATTTCTTATAAAGATCAGACCAGCAAAATCTGGCTCAATTACATTTTTTTCTTCTGTTGATATGAGTGCAGTCCCTGTCAAATAAACAGATATAATAAAAAATCCCAGCTCACCAAATAAAGGCTTATTGGAAGTGCTGGAGCTGAGACCCAGTGTGAAAAAGAAAATCTGCACACTCCAATCTATCTGTGCAATATTCACTAAAACAATATCAATCGCTTGATGGGTCCTGATGCAAAACGCCTACACCATTAGACCACATGGAGCCACCAATATATATATATATATTTTAAATATAAACCCTCTACTGTATGTTCACATTCACGTCATTATACTACACAAAACATCTTACTTGCACGTGCTACTCCTGTGCATGACTTCAGCTCTGTGGTATCCAGACAGCTTGCAGAATCCATCATTGCTGTAAACAACCGGCCACTCAACGATCTGTGCATTTCCCAACAGGAAACTGGTTTCTGCAACAAAGCATAAAAAATACAGCAGTCTGAAACAAAACTAGTCACTACCAACACCCAGAGGTGGGACCAAGTCATTGTTTTGCAAATCACAAGTAAGTCCTGAGTCCTAAACTTTGAGTTTTTGAGTAATAATGTGCTCCTCACCAAATGTAATGCCATTTTAACAACAGAACAAATGAAACAAAATTATCTTTGGTATCATTTTTTCGAAGTGACACTTCAAGTAAACTCATGTACCGTTTATTTTTCATGGTTCTATCCTGCAACTTGATTGGATGCTGTCAGATTGGTTCAAACAAAGTGGATCTGGACAATTAAGTATTGACTTTAAAGTGGTTTTAATGTTAGCTGCTTTACAGAAATTAACTTATTTGTGGCACAATTTTTAAAGAACATACTTTTTCTTTACGCTTGTGGTATCAAGTATTTTCAAGTCAAAACTCTCCTGTATTGCCACTGATATTTTTGCCTGCTGTGTTGTAAATTCCAATAAGATAATAGTTGGTAAAATCTGATATTTTGATGTTTTCTTTATTTACCATCTCCTATAACTCCCGCTGACCAGTGTCATGAATTAGAGAAAATCTCTGCGTGTCTGTAAATCTTCACCTGAAATAGTCTATAAAGCAAACTCTACCAATACTAAAAAAATTTTGATAACCACATATAACAGAAACAATATCATCAATATTTAAAACAGCAGTGGTAATCAGACGAGGGCAGAAATAGTTGTTGATGAAATGTTTATGTTCCACCCATAATGTTAATGAAATATTAATGAAGTGCTCTGGCTTTACAACAGTTTGGAGGGAGCTGCACTCGGGAGAAAAGACTGAGGACACTGAACAGTCACCATTAAAGTGGTCAAATTTAAAGCATCTGCATGTTTATCTTGAACTTAATGCTGGAGTGTCAGATGAGTTCATGCTGTAATGAATGCAACCACTCTACAGGCTTTTGCAGGGTTTTGACGTCTGATTATTGTGACTAAATTTGCCTAAAATGTATTACAGAGGGGGGCAATAACTTTTCAGACAGTTAATTTAGGTTTATTATCTTTCTTAATAATTTGTCTGACATCGTGCTCTTCATCTGTACTTATAATGAAAACCTTCAATCTCAAACACGCTCAGCCTCACTCCTGAGGGGAATATACTGTCTGCCAGGCAGACTGTCAATCCAACAATGAATTTTTAATGACAGTATTACCTTTCTGAAATATAAACAACAAATACTGACAAATAAAGTGTAACTGAGTCACCATACGCACAAATCACATTATACAGCTCCTAAAATGTTTTAATTAGTCCCTCTTTGAAATGTATGCAAACCTAATCTT